GACTGCAAATGAAGGGGCCTGGAGGGAAACAGAGCTTGATCTGTTGGGTTCAAAGGGGAACGAAGTGTGAATAGAGGGATCTGAAGGGGAACAGCACAGCAGGTGGGACTGGAAGTGAAGAGCGCGTGAATGTAGGGGACTGGAATTGAACAGAGTGAATGGTGGAGATTGGAGGGGAACGGGGTGAACAGGTCTGGAGAGGATCAAGGTGTGAATGGAGAGAACTGGAAGCTGAGCAGAGTGCAAATATAGGAAACTCAGGGTGAACAGAGTGTGAACGGAGGAATGTAAAGAGGGACAGAGGGAGAATGAAAAGTCTGGTGGGGAACAGAGCAGGAACATGCAGTCCTGGAAGAGAGTAAAGCACGTAGGTGTTAACTAGAGGGTAAGAGTGTCTGAAAGAAGACTGAAGGGGAACAGTAAGAATGGAGATAACTGAAAGAAATGAGAAGTCTGGAGGGGAACAGAGGGCAAACGAAGGGAAATGGAAGGGAACAAACTGTGAAGAGAGGTGATGGGAGGGAAGCAAAGCTCTACTGGAGTAGTCTGGTGAGAAAACAGCCACAGATTCAGGACGCTGCATGGGTAAAGAACATGAATGGTGGGGGCTGGAGAAGAAGACGACATGAACAGAGGGGCTAGAGCTGAGCGGATCGATCAGCGATATCTGGACAGAAAGAGAACATGAAGAGAGGGGAATGGATGGGAAAAGAGCACAGGATCTGGGGGGGACACGAGGGGAACAGAGCTCCATCGGTGGGATCTGCCGGGGAATAGAATGGGATAGTGGGGAGTGGATGGAAACAGAAGGCAGTCATCATTTGGTGATGGGAGGGGAACAGAGCATGAACAAAGGTGAGTTTTTTGTCATTTACCTCAACTTTAGCAATGCTTTCAAGACACTATCTCCCAGTACTCTTGGATGCAAGTTAGAATGTTACAGTCTGGATGGACGGATAACAAAATGAGTAAAAAACCTGGCTGGTAATAAGTGGGGTACTGCAGGGGGTCTACTCTGGGACCTGTGCTGTTCAACATCTTTATCAAGGACCTGCAGGAGCACACTCTTGGCAAGTCTGCAGATGACACCAAACTGGGGCAACAGCCGATACATTTGAGGGCAAGGCTGCCATTTAGAGTTACCCAGGTAGTTTGGAGGAACAGGCAACAGCAGCCTTATGAAGTTCAACAAGGACAAACACAAAGCTATGCACCTGGGAAGGAAGAATACCTGCAAAAACACAGGCTGGGGGCAGCTCTGCTGAAAAGGGCCTGAGGGATTGGTAGGCAGCAAGCTGGACATGAGCCAACAAAGAAAAGAAAGCCAACAGCCTCCTGGGCGGTATTAATAGGAGCATAGCCAGATTGAGAGAAATGATTATTGCCCTCTATTCAGCACCAGTTTTAGGCCCTATGATGCAAAAAGACATTGAGAAACTGCAGCAAGTTCAGCAGAGGGTCATCAAGATGGTCATGGAGCTGGAGCGCTTGCCCTGTGAAGAGTGGCTGAGGCCATGGGGCTTGCTCAGCCTTGCTTAGCTTTCTCTGAAGAAGAGCAGGCTTTGTGGGGACCTAACAGCAGCCTTTCAATATCTACAAGGATGTACAAGGAAGACAGAGCCAGGCTGTTCACAGTGGTACATGGTGGGAGAGTGAGAGAATATGGACATAAATTGAAACAAGAAAAGCTTCCACCTTGTCATAAGGAAAGACTTTTTCACCACGAGGAAAATACAGAAACAAGTAGCCAGAGAGGCTGGACAATCTTCATTCTTGGAGGTTTTCAAGGCCAGGCTGGATACAGCCCTGAGCAGCCTGATCAGATCCCAGAGCCGACCCTGCTTTGAGCAGCAGGTTGGACTAGGGACTTCCTGAGGTCCCTTCCAATCTGAGGGATCCTGCTACTCTGTGACTGTAGGGGAAACGAGTATAAACAGGGGGGCCCGGCGGGAAACAGGATGTGAATGAGGGAGATGGATGGGAAACAGAGCCCAAACACAGGAGAACAGAGGGGGAAAGAGCATAAATGGTGGTGCTTGGAGGGGATCAGAGTTTGTAAGAAAGGGTTCTGGAGGGAAATGGAGTACAAACAAAGCGTGGATCAAAGTGATCAGAGGCTAATGAAGTGCGAATAGGGGGGACATGAGGAACAGAGAATAAATGGAGAGTATTGGATGGAAACGAACAGTGAACAGAAGAATTGGGAGGGCAATAGACCACAGGTGCAGTGGACTGGAAGGGAATGGAGTGCGCATGAAGGGGAGCAGTTGCCTGTAAGGAGGGATGTGGAGAGTTGCTGAGCAAGGGTGAAGGGGTTGAGCATGGACCAAAGCGCTCAAAGAAGGGGGTGGAGAGGAGCAGAGCATGAACAGAGGAGAAAGGTGGGGAACAAAATGCACTGGAGGGGCATGCCAGGCCATGAAGTGCACAGAGAAAAGGGAGGTGAACAGGCTAGGCCATGAAGGACTCTGGCTCACGACGGGAATGGAGGGAAGAGCGCATCGATGGAGGAAAAAGGACAACAGGCTGCATACGGAGGGGAATGTGGGGAAACTGAGTGCTCATGGAGGGGAATGGAGTGCAAACAGAAGGAGATGGAAGGAAGAAGAGTGCGGATGGAAGGAGGTGCAGAGCAATGGAGCATTTCTGGAGGCATAAGGAGGGGAACAGAGTGCACCTGATGGGGAATGGAGGAAAGTAGCTCACATATGGAAGGTCACAGAGTGGCAGGGCACACAGAGGAGCCTGGAGGGGAAGGGAATAGGCATGCACGTTTGGGAAATGGAGGGGAATTAGTCACACAAGGAGGGCAATGGAGGGGAACAGGGCATGCATGGGGGGGAACAGCGTGTATGGAGGGAAAGAGAGAGGAACAGAAATTGCATGGAGAGGAATGGAGAAGAACAAGGCATGCATAGATGGGACTAAATGGAGATAAGAGTGTATATGCAGGGGAAGCAAAAGACAGAGTGTCCATGGAAGGGAATGGAGGGCAACGGAGGAAGCACTGAGTAGAGGCGGGGGGAGGGGAGCAGCATGATCGTGCAAGGGAAGAGAGGAGACCATAGCTCACACCATAGAGGCCAACATAGGGGAAGAAAGAGCACAGAGAAAATGAAGGATCATGTCCCAACTGTAGGGAGAGCTGAGGCTTGAAAGAACCAGTTGATCCTCTGCTGGGGCCTAAAGCAGCAGCAAGCACCCCGAAGTGATTGTGCCCCTTCCCTCTCCTCCTAAACCTCTCCTGGAAGGCACCCTGACCAAGAGAGAGGGAGATGTTTTTCTTAAACTGCTGCCATAAGATCAACAGGAGCACATCAGGAACTCTCTGGGGAATTAGTTTATTTATTAAAAGTATTTTTATTTTTAAGTTGATGTTGGGGTGTGCGGGTCTCCTAGTAGGGGTAATACAGCTAGTTAGCATTCCCTGCACTGATATGCTGCTGGTCTGCCTTGAGCAGAATAACATGTGTTAAATAACATCTTTTATCTGTTTTTAAATTCCAGTACATGCATCAATTAAATTTTCCAAATTTAGTTTTTGAGTTATTCATTCTTTAATGTTCCTGCAAGCTTCCCTGCTCCTCTCGGTCTAGAGAGGAGTTATCAGCATACAGTGTAGCAGAGACTGGGTCTCCTTCGGGATGCGATAGAACTGTGTGCTTAATAATAAAGGTTTCACAGAGGAGTTCTGATGAAGGTGTTAAAGAGTACTGCTTGCTCAGTGGAGAAGGGGGAGCAGTTGAAACATTTATCTGTGAAGTATATTAATTCAAGTAACATCTACAGTACTTGTTTGCTGAGTGTTTACCAAGCCTTCACTAGGAGCCCAAAAGACTTGCTTCCCTGTCCCCAGAATATGACCGCAAGTGCCTGTAGCTGCTTTGTGTCTTACATACTTATCTTAAGATGGTAGTAGAGAAAAAGGTAATATTTGCACTGGGGCTCTCTAATGTCTAGGGCATTGAATAATTAAATTCAACACAGGGCTTTGAGGGAGCAGTACCTCTGGAAATCAGATTTAATTACATTAGAGCTGAGTCAGGTAAACGCTTCTGTTATCATCATCCAGAAGAGAACAGAGAAACTCCTATCTTTTAGGGCCATTTTCAGCGAGTGAACTGTAGATTTAAGCAGTGAATGCTGGATCTCATCTAAAAGGGTTGCTGTTCAGACAAGTTCTACGTTTTGGGCCTTGCAATAAAGCTATACTTTCTGCAGAAACTCATATGGCCATTAGAAAAGCATGGGAGCCACCCATGTGCATCTATCAGCTAATGCTAACCTTTACCCCAAGCTGAGAGCTGGAAATAGCATGAAATTATTCTTTAGTTCTGTTTGTTTTTCTCCAGTGTTCACTAACGTCTTGACTCTGCAATGTAAACGTTTCAGTGATGATGGCTGTCCTGGAATATTTTTCTCTTTTTCATCCTGTTAAAGCTGTTGTCTGCTAGGCAGCCATCAAATTTATTGCAAAACTGGTAACTGGTCTTAAGCTGGCCAAAGACTTCCATCTCTCCCCCTTTACAAAATTGCCCTTACTAACTGCTATGTTGCACTTACACAGTGCTTTATGCCTCACAATGTTTACGGTGCCCAGATTTGCTCTCAAGACTGACAGGCGAATGATAGACAAAATTGGACACTGTTCTTGAAAAGGTGAGCGAGATTTGTAACAATCACATGGCTTCTACCTGCCTTGTGTTCAGTAAGGGTAAGTGCTTGATATAGTCATAGTTCTAGGAAGAATTGTGCCCTTATTGCTTTTCCAGAGGCCTTAAAGGTGGAGTGGAGTAAAAAGAAGGATTGATGTGTTCAGACCACGGAGTCTTACCAAAATAATGTGTTCACGCTACACAAGATGTAGACGTGGGTGTGAACTATACAATAATGTTACTCTGACCAATCTGTCCTCCACAGGGAAAATGAACATTTCACCTTTATTGATTCTGCTTTTTGGGGGGAGGGGGGGTGGCAGAATGTTACAGAAATTCTGCATTTAAATGCTTTGTAGTTTGCTGCTGTTCACCTAGCTCTCCTCTGGCTTGTGAGCTGCTTATTTAGCCGGGTCTCAGCTCCTCTCAAGACCTAGGCAGCCTTGTTTTTCAAGTACTCCCTTCTCTGTGGGACCATGGAGGCAATCCACTGACTGGTGCACTGCTTGGCCTCTTCCCATGTGTAGTGGGGCATGTAGCCAAAATCCTTCTGTGCCTTGCCATAAGAGAAGGTGAAAGGGGTGTTCAGCAGAGTGACCAGGTGACGGTTGGTAGAGGGGATGTATCTGACAAAGGGCCTGAGCAAGAAGCTCACTATCTCCAGCAGCAGCGAGAAGTAATACAACATTGTCAGTGGCATGGGGAGCCGGGGCTCAATTCCAAATCCGAGGTCCTTAGTCAGCTCGTAATTTAGATCTGCGTAGCTCATATGAGGAGTGTCATCGGAGATGTAGTAGAACTGCCCCCTGATGTGCTTGGCTTTCTGTGGGACCTGCAGGGCTTTGGCTGCCTGCACATGCGCCCAGGCGATGTTCCCCACGTACACGGGGTTCACCAAAGCCTCCTTCCTGGAAAAGCGCAGGTAGACGTTTTTGTTCAGTAGACTCTTATCCAGATGACCCTGAAGAAATGGGCATCCTTCTCCATAAATGTACATGGATCTCAGGGCACATGTCAACAGCATCCCACCATCCTTTAACACCTGGCCATCAGCCTTCAGCACAGAATCCTCTGCCAGTCTCTTACTTTGGGCATAAGGAGATTTTGATATACTCTCGTAATCTGTATCTTCATCGCCATTGAAAATTGGGTCACCTCTGCAGTTTGGGCCTGTCACTTCTATGGTACTGGTGTATATGAAGTGCTGGACATTACAATGGGCACATGCCTCCAGCAGTAGCTGAGTACCTTCAAAAGAGAAACATGTGAGTCAGGTAGCATGTAGCTGAGTTGGCTGACAGAGGCTCCAGTCTACAGCTCCCTAGGTAGGGCTGGTTAGATAGGAAGCGGTATCTTTGGCCTGAACTCTGCCACATCTCCCCTCTCGGCATCTGTAAGAATCCTGTCCTAACAGGGTGACACATTCAAAGACACTGAACATGCTCTGAATCTTTTTTTTTTTTATTTAAGGGGTGTCAATATGGCTGCCAGAGTTATACAAGGATGAACATTTAGTCTTAACTACATGGGTTACTTCTTATGCCAAGAATCAAACTTTGCTCTTGCTTAAACAAAGTAACTTCACTGACCGCAGATTCACGCACTTTTCACGCACTTGTGCTATTAGTTTGACAGACTTGGCTTAAGGCAGAGAACCTCAGAAGCTGTCCCTTTCATTAAGCACCATCCATCCTCTGTACCCAAGCCCTAATTTTCCATACTTAAGCATGCTTTATGAGTGCTTTGCTAAGCAGGGGTGGAATTATCTTGGGACCTGAAGGTTTGCTCCAAAATCAGTTTCACCCAGTCCAAACTTTATTCATCCATTATTCAATTGACTTTCGAGGAAGGCTTGAAGACAACGATTTTTGTCAGAACAATGCGTGATATACCATGTAGTCAAACATCGTAGAATAATATGCAGTGAGCAGTTTGATGCTTGTGTATGTATTCCTCGTTTTTGGGCATATTCTGGCCTTTACTTTTGACTTCAACATTAATGCTCTTAGTGTGACTTTTTGTATGGACTGTATATCATGTTAAAAATACAAGATTTCCTAGTCTTAAGATCCTATCATAATGCTTTCAATAACAAGAGCAGAGGTAAGCCAGCAAGTTCATGTTCTTTCAAGTAGCCAAGGGTGTTAAGCTAAGAGAGTACATCCAAGAGGGAAATAAATATTTTAATAATTTATGGTTTTTTACTTGCAAATAGAGGTTCTTACTGTCCCAGCTGAGTTTTGAATTCGGAGACCCTGCATGGCTTGCTTTGCTGCATCACTATCATGAGATCCCTTTGAAAGACCTGAAATACAGAAGTCCCCAGGCAGAGGATAGGGTTGCCAAAGGAAGTTCAGACTCTCAGAGGTATTAGCCCAACTGCTGTTATAGTCACGTGGGCTTTGCTGCAAGGCCAGCTCCCACAGCAGAGGGGACGTTCTGCTGATGTCCAGACTGTTCCTGTATGGGGAAGCTGAAAGGAGCTGGGTATGTTTCCTTTCTGTGTCTCACATTTTTATAGGTCTGAATTTGAAGCCAAGTGGATTTTCACCAAAAAATTCAGTGGGTTTGTTACTGCCCTGGATTGTGAGCATCCACGTCTGGTTCCTCGTCACATTTGTATTGCAAGAATTTTGTTTTCAAGGAGAAAAACGACTTCCATCCTGCATATCTATGAAGGATGTAGCAGTGTCTTGGCTAGTCAGAAAGCCAAGAGACCAGCAGAGTGGAAATGGAGGGAAACAGGGAAGAGGACTTCAATATTTACTCACTGACCTCAGAGCAGGACAGGTCTGTGCTTTCATCCTACCAGATGCTGTCAGCTAACCCTCACTGTCCCTGTGGAGTAGCTTCACCCACAGACAGACCCTGTTGGGAGGTTCTGAATGATTTATGAAAGCCGAGTTACTTTTTGCTTCTGAACCTGCCTAAAGGACAGGCAGGTCAGACTCAAACTCTCTAACTCCAGCTCCTTTCTGCTCCTGGGTTATTTTTATATATTTTTGCAGGGGTTTAGGTAACACTTTCTGCTGTGAAAAACAGACTGTAGCAGAAAAGAGAGCGCTTTACAAATTCCCTTTCTGAATTACCGCTCCTGTATCTTTATTTTTCCCACTATCCAATGCACAGGTTTGTGGGAACTTGCCTTTTTTGCCCTTCCCTCCTGGCAGGGACTTGAGAAGCTGCCTTCTGGACTCTAATTTGGGATCGCTTTCAATTTGTGGCTTTGACTGAACAGAAATGAATGGGTCTGGAAGCTGAATGCCCAAGTGATGGGCCAGGCTCAAATGATGAAAATGCCATTCCACGGGTTTTAAGGTGCCTATAAGAGAGACAGCTCGACTACAAGCAAAAATGTTCTGTTGTTCTGAATGCTGGTGAATAACCAATATTTGTGCAAGTGGTGGAGCATAGAAATATATTCCTCATTTGTCTGTGATGAAGCCCTTTCCCTGTGGAAGAGAGGAACAAAGGAACCGGAAAACTATTCATGTAAATAAGAGTATCTTCCCATAATCCTCACTAAAGAGCTGAAGCAACACAGCCAGGGAGGTCAGCGTGCATGGAGGTTAGGCAATATCGGGAGTTGACTGCAAGGCATAGAGGCCATTGGGATAAGGACAGGCATGAGGTTGTTCTTTTGGGAAATATATTGAAATTTCCTGACTGCTGATGTCACATAGGCCATTCCAAAGCCAAATCATTCCCCCTTCATCTGACCTTTTCATTAGGAACAGGGACTCCTTAGTAAAAAGAGAGTTCCCATGACCAAATGAGAAGTGAGCACTGACAACTGTGAATGATCCTGCAGTGCTCTGCAGTGCAGGACTGGTGCATATGGGGTGCGGAGAGGGCCAGATCTGTAGAGGGTTTTGCATACGCATGTTTTGCACTCGCATGTATCGTTGTGCAAGATACAGAACACCCCAGTGAATCTAGCTCAAAAAATCAGGTCAAGTGTTCCCTTCCCTGAGCAGATGATGATCAGCACTTAATAGACAACAGGTTTGGGAAAGGTGCTTCACCCACTCACCTATTACATTGACTTCCCAGAGCAGCTGCTTCTCTATGAGTCCTAAGGTGTCAATGATGGAAGCTGTGTGGATGACGAGGGAGACCCCCTGGCAGGCACAGTGCAGAAATGTCACATCTCGAATATCCCCTTCCAGGATTTTCACCTCGGTCTTACCCTGGAATTCTGCAAGAGCAGCAGAAAACAAAGAAAAAGACCTTACTGGCATCCTAATCAAGTACTAAAAGGAATGGTGAAGGTCTCTGTGGATGCTGTAGCTGCAGCTGGGAAGTGCTGACTGCCCAGGCACGGTGGCAATTTTTTCCATGGCTATACTGTGAAATGCTAATTACAGTACTATAGAAGTCTATGTTGCGTTACTTACCATATTTTTGGAGTCAATATTCAATATAGTCCTTTTTAAAGAGAAGCCTTTCTCATTGCAAGGAAGGTGTCCTTCAGCACCATGTGATATGCATCTATTTTAAAGTTCATAGGGGGCTGAGGTAGGAGAGAGGTAACTTTAGCTATCAATGTTCTGGTGACTGGCTGTTTAAAAAAGTGTTAACCCAGGTGCTAAATAGCCAGGCACTGCATGCTTTTGTCTACAAAGTGATGAACGATCTCTCTCCACCCACAGCACGTGCACCCCGATCTGTGTTCACACCTATTTCCTGTCCCATGACCTTGCCCATATTGCAGCTTTTCCTTTGCAGCTCTTCTAATACATTCCTTACAGTTCTCATGCATTTCTTTTATGCACCTCAGCCATGAATTGCTGCACCTCTTGTTACTCCAGCTCCAGCTCCGTTTCAGCTTCTGTAATACAGGGCCATTTTCAGGATGTGCATCCTTCTGGTCCACATCCAAGCTCTCAAGGCTGCTCTCCTGAGCTGCCTCAGCCCTGACTTGCTTTAACTCCTGCTCTTCTAGGCCAATCCCCTCTCTCCCTAGCAGCTAACGTGTGTGACAGCTGGTGTAATTCTAGTTTTAGGAGCCTCGCTTCCCCAAAGTTTTGCTAGGCGTCAGCTTCCTTCTATAGCCTAGAAGTATGCTACAGAATTTAGCCAGCCCAGCCATGTTGGCTGATTATGTGCAAAAATGTATAGTCCGAAGTGATGCTGCTCTCCTGGGAAACTTGCTGATGTGGCTGCAGCTGTGCCATGGGAGAAGACTAGCTCAGCACGACTTACAGCGTTCAAGGAAGTGGTGTTATTACACAAAACAGATAAATCCTCTTTGTAAGCCTCTGCTGTGCCTGCACTAGAGGGCTCCCCAGGCCCAGCTATTGCAAAAGGACTCTGAGGCCCAGGCAAATGCTGTGCCTTCTCACAGCCCCTCTTAACTAACTTTGAAGCAGGCAGAATTTCATCCTCTAGCTTTAACAGAGAAGCACTAAGGGATACATACAGCTGCTGGGATCTGGAACTGAATGTGAATATATTTTTAAATGTTCTTCTCTCATTATCTCTCAAACATGCCAAGATCTTTTTCTTCTCAGTCTGTTGGTCAGAGATGTGAAATGGCAGCCTAAATGCTCAATATTTCTGAAGCTGTTACTAACCTAGAGTTACTGCCCTCCCACCCCAGTCACTGACACGTGCTAACGTGCGCTCCTTTAGTTTACAGAGTGCAATTATTTTCCGAAGGCTCCATTTCCAGAGGGTTCACACTGACCTCTACTCGTATGGATGCAAAAGTGCTAGACTGGCTTTCTGTTAAGCAATTGGCAGTTGGATTTGCTCTAATAGGCATTAGTCTTTGTACAGCACTCAGCCTCCTGCTGTTCTCCATGAGTAATGATCTGTGGGGTTACAGTAATCTAAAGGACTGTGATACGTGGTTTTCAGGACATAAATTCTGACATTTAAACATGTGCCTGCTTTGGAGTGATTATTGTGCCTGGAGAGGAGTCAGGCAAACGGAGGTTTTTTACACATGCAAATCAAAGCTTTTGGAAAAATAAAAAAGAAATGATCCCTTTTAAAGCTGATTGCCAGGACAGTTGGTCTCAGTTGCTGGAAAGCTGCTGTCTAGCTGCTTTGCGCCTTATTTGGGCTTTCAGATTTCTGAAGTTGTATGTGATATGAGGCAGAAAAGCTGCTCCTGAAGTGCAGCAGTAGGGAAGATCTAAAATGGGCTCTCGTCAGGCTACAGTCCGCATTCCTATACGGTCAGCAGAAGTTGCCCTGGTGAGTACAGTATGGGCCTTTTCACTTTACCGACATCAGCTAGTTCTGAGGTTCAGTAGATTTGATCGTGTTTTGCACTGGGGAAAGAAGAGAACTACAGATGAGCTTGGAAGTGGAGAGAGGGAAGAACAAATGAATGACAGACAGCGTTTACAGTCTGAGATGGGCAGCAAAGGCAGAGACTTGACTTGCGTGTGCACAAACCATTGCCCAGGCACCAAAAAAAGTGTATGGGCTGAGAGGAAGAGAATAAATTCAACCCAGCTCTCCATTTTTTGCATACTATGACTATAAGAAAACAGCTAACCACTGAGAAAGCTTTTTCTATATCGCCAATGGATCCTGTGGCCTCTGAGCCATAAGCAGTGCTCCCTGCTTGCTGCAGGTTAATTTTTACTTGGAAATGTAATGATTACTCAATAAAATTCAGTGCCCTTTTGTGAGCAATGTCTGGCTTAGCAACCAAGTCATACTATTTGCCCCAAACTGCTTTAGCTTTAAACAATAGATAGAAAAGAGAAAGACAAACGGGAGCATCTGTACAACTTGAGTAGCTTGGATTAGCTGGTGCTCTTTTATGGAGTTCCTAACTACTGTGGAGTGGATGGTGGGGAAAGGCACTCCTCTCATGAGAGCGCTCGATTTTCCTGGGTAAATGGATGGCTCATTAAAACGATCGACTTTGTGCATTCATAGGAGAAAATTTAAAAATGTACCTTATTTTCATTTCCAAAGGATAATGCAAATTATTAGCTGCTTTAGCCCAGAGAAGCCAAGATGTTTATGCTGGTCCCATTTCAGCTACAGGGTTGTTCTGCTGCTACCCAGCCTATCTATTTTGAATGCATGCATAAAGGCAAATGAAACTGACTGCAAGTTTGAGCTAAAAAGCCAGGGTGAAGTTTGCCACAATAGGAACTTTCCCCAACGACAGTCCTGGAAAAAGCATTCCTCTTCCCTCTACTTTCCTTCTGCTTCGGAGCAGTCCTGGGTTACCAGTGCCCGTTTTACAAGCCTGGTATTAAATACTAAAGCATCACATGGTCTATAAATGTCAAGCTTGGAAAAAAATGACATGAGACAAAGGTTAGGGCAGATGTGCAGAGGGAAGAGACAGAAAGGAGTTAATGCTTTGAAATGGTGAGAAACTCACTGGAGAGCAAGCTAGGAGCTTCTCCTAACTTTTCAAGAAGGTGCCAGTGCAATTGTGGGCAAAAAGAATTCCATAAAAGGAAACACAGGAATGGTGTGAGGATAAACTGGAAGTGGAGCTGGGAGGGAGAGAAACCAAACCATCTAACTCCATGCCACGTTTAACATGACGCTCATTCTCAATGGCACAGTTCAGCTGGGTAGACTCTGGGCTCCAGCTCACAGTACTTTATATTGATTGGAGCATCCTGGACTCACTGGAGATATGTAAGACAGAAAATGCCTCTATTTTAGGCTGACTGAGTGTGACGGTCAGGGACTCACCAGGACAAAGGGGAGTGTCCCGGATAGAAACTGGCATCCAGCAGAACTGTAACTTGTACATGCGCCTGTGTTTTATTAGCCACGACATTGACTCTGCAAGGACATTGCAGATAAAAGGTGCTCAAGAATTTAGTCAGAAAGAAAATGACTGGGCGCTGCTCCTGGCTGTTCAAGAAAACCAAACAAGTGTGCCAGCAAGTAAAGGAGTTTCAGTTCCCCTGAAGAGTTAGTCCCTGGAGTAAAAATAATGTAGGCGAGAAGACTCCAGCCCCGTGGGCTTTGCAGCAGCCCTGCCTTTGGAGCAGAAGTCACTGTGCTGGAGAAGGGCTTGAAAGGGAACAGGAGCAACATATTTCAGGTCATCCCAAGCACAGGCACTAGCAAGACACTTGAAGAGACATGGCTATAGAGGCTGATGTAGACAGAAGGACTGCCAGCCATGGTGCTGGGACTTGAGCCAGTCCAAACACATCTGAAATACCACTCTGTGGTTCCTACTACCTGCTCTTGAGAAAGGAGCTTTGATAACTGATTTGTCCCTTCCTCCTATGCTGGCCAGATAGGCAGCAGAAATGGAGCAAAAATAGGAGAGGGAAAATGTGTCTGGGCAGCGTTTAGAGGAGGAAAGGTGGAGCGTAAGGAAAGAGAGAACAGAGTTTTCTTTTTAACAAAAAATGGAGCAGCAAAACCTTTGCTGCAGCCCAGCCAGAATTGTGCTCAACCAAACAGTTGGTTTCATTCCCCAGGAAGCTCCATTTTCTCCGCAAAGTTTGCAGCTGACATAAAGGAGCGCAGATGCTTCTGCCGTTGCCCTGCTGCATCAGTGCTAAACCCACACGTTACGGGCACTGCAAAAGCCTGAGCATGCTGCTGTTGCTGGTTTTGTCACTGTGGGAACTGCCTGGAAATCAGGACAGGAAGGGCTGCTGCAATGCCTGTGGGGATCTAGCAAATTCTCACGGAAACAGTGCGTGAGGTTTAACGAGGAAGAAGTCAGCAGAGATGCATAAAACCATCCTAAAGACCTGTGCAGTTTGCACCAGGGTTACGTGCACTGTTACTATTATTTGATGTCACTTAACCACTTTAAAGATTGCAGCTCTTTAGCAAATTGTAAAGGGTTGTTCCATAAGAATTCCCATACAGGTAATGCCTATATGGAGGGAGAACAGTTTTGCAGTTAAGACATTTGATGCAGGAAAGCATTGTCAAGTAAATGTCTATGATATATGCATTTAAGAACTTGATTAAATGTAGGTTCCTATGTGCCTATTTATAGACGTGTTCAGGATCCCAGAAAAGCAGAACATTTAAAATACAGTACTCTGAGCTGCCTGCTTTGCCACAGACTGTGTATTATACTGGGCAGATCACTCCGGTGTGCTGTCTCCATTCCCTTCAAGAAGCTGGAGTACTGACTTGCCCTTTGCAAATGGGTCCTGTCTCTTCTGTGCATAGCAAACAAGGGTTCTGCTCTCCAGGCAGCTGTGATTATAATCATAACCAGTTTTTAAGCTGTGCCCTTACAACCCTCAGCCAGGGCAGGTGACTCCAAGTCTGACTAATCCAGGCTTGGAGAGAACCATCATCACCTGCACCTACAACCCTGTCACTGCCTTTAGACTTGCACATCAGAGCCCAGGGCAGTACACTCCGGGCTACGCTGCCCCCGAAGTACAGCCATGCCTTGCTTTTCCTTCCCCCAGCAGTGTGAGATTTTTGCATTGATTTTCGTCTGTGGGCTGAAGGCAATATAATCACTGCAGTGACAATAACTAGGTCTCTATTCCAATCTACAGAAGCCTCAGGGTTTGGCAAGGGGAACTGTTGCTTTTAGATTTTACCTCTGATTTCTGTGCTGAAGGGAGAGGGAGGGGTGGAGCATGACTTCCTTGAGATAAAACTTGCATCCGCAAAGGTGGGGTGGGGGCTATGAGGTAGAGACTTCCAAGCTGTCCACCTAAGATAACATCACATATACCCACAACACGGTAGTCCAGGACCAGATGGCACTTACTTCCAAAGCTCCTGAGCGCTTCGTTGCTAAAAGCTTTGTCCAGCAGTCGGATCTCAGCCAGTGCCTCCTCTTCTTCCAGCAGTAAGCGGACAATCCTCTGGCCAAGAAACCCTCCTGCTCCTGTCACTAGACAGCTCACCCCGGCCAGTGACATTGCTCTGGGTTGCTCCTCAGTTGCAAACTGGCTCGCTCTTGAGCTTGGAGCGGCTGTTTTACCTCCTGCCAGCAAAAATGAACAGATAGCATCAACCTCCAAGGCCTTTATGAATCAAGGGGTGTTACCAGAAAGAGAAATTAATGGAAAGTAAACGTTCAACCCTGTGCTAAATGCTGAGCCAACAATTTTTAAAATATTTCTTGCTTTTACTAGCTATTTCTTTTCAGAGGTAGCCTAGACATTTTTCCTACAAAGAAAAAATATTTACAAAGTATTATAAACTGAAGACATTAACAAATCTTTTCAGGCAGAAAATCAGCTTCAATGCTACACAAACCCCACCAATGTCTGTCTCAGTCCTTGCGTTCCACCTTTCCAGCATTCAAAAGACCGTGGAGGAGATTTGCCTGTATTTATATACTGCACAGCACCACCTCAGTTCTCTTGCTTCCCCTCCCTCTCTCATGCCTCCTTTGCTACAAATGACCACAGTGCTTCCACCCCTCCCCTCTCATGCAAGAGCATTCGTGCTGTAGCTGAGGTCCAAACGCCTGGTTAAATGTGGTCCGGTGTGTCTAAATTATGGGAGGGCAAATCCTCATGTTGCTTGTTCTCTGTAGATGTACTTGCTTGTATTAAACGGTGTTAATGTGAAGGAAGAGAGCATTAAATGAAATGTAAATAGCGGGAGTAGCCATTTACACTGCTCATGTCACAGTGTTGGTGAAGTGGATTTCACTGCTCTAGTTTCTGGACTACTGGGCTCGCCCGCCATAGCACGGGTTTCTCACGCTCTCTGCGCAGGAAGGACCAAAAACACACTTCTGGGATTTTGTATTTGTTCAGCATACTTTACTTGAGGCTCAAAGTGTTGAGATGATCCTATCTACAGACTGTGTCTGGGACAGTATCTGTTAAAATAAGACTGTGATGCCTGTTTGTGCTTTCACAGTGGACTGTCATTACTTTTTACATTTCCAAAACACAGAGAACATGCCCAGGTACCTCTCGCTAGGGCTTCACTCCAGTTCTAGTGAAACACTTCCAATGTGAGACCAGGGTAGGGCTTAGGCTTTAGTCTAAAGTTCAGAAGACCCATTCTGCCTTCCCAGTGCTTTGGGTGCTCTCAGGACACCCTGACTTGAGTTCTGTTTCTTTCTCTCTCAGATAGGGTTGATCAGATTTCCTTATTGAAGTGGCATGTTAAATAGCTAGCTGCCTTAAACAAGGTAAAGTGCCATGGGAAACTGCAAAGCAGCCCCAAAATGCACTGAAATCACTGGAAAGAGGATTACTGATTTCAGGCATAGCTGGAACGGATCTCTGAAAATGATTGACTTGCATTCATGCAACTAACTCCTAAACTCCCGGTTTTATACTGTGGTCATGAATCCTGTTCACTCACTAAAAAGAGCCCTGGAGAAAAGCTATAGAAAAAGCACTCCCACATCACTTTTTTAGAGCAAAACTGAGCCTTCAAGTAACATCAGGAAAGCAAAGCTGTTTTGAGTCCAAGGAGCAAAAGGGAGCTCCCAGCTGACACAGATGATAAGTTTTGGCAACTGTTTCAATGACAGAGTCCTTGAAAACTCTTCCCTTACACCAACAAAGCCTTATAAAAATTGTTATCTGTGCTTCTTTCCTTGACTACTCTCAGACAGGACCTTCACATTGTATGTTCTTATCAGAAGCTGGTGCAAATGAATTTTATGCTGTGCATGCGTTTTGCAAGGAAAAATAGCTCATAAAACCCTGCTGCTACAACTAGCGTTCTCTGTGCATACTCCTTGAAAACGATGCTTCGTTTTTACTTTTAGAAAGGAAATAAAATGCCTTAAAGAGGCATTAGAAAAGCAGGCAATACAGCCGAGCCTCTTCGGCTACAAAATACTTTCTGCACCAAACTTGCCCATTAGAACGCCTCAGTTTAGTAAGGAAGAGTGCTTTATATGAGAATATGAATATTGCATAGCTGTAGATGATTGTAGGGAGACCTATAGCTGCTGTATTTTAGTGCTCTGAGGTACTACTGGACCAAATGCATGACATGGTTTGAAGGAATCTTCTACACTGCTAAATAACATCCCTCATTTGAACTGTCATTTGCAGATGTCAGCGATCAGCACAGCAGCAGTACACTAAATTCCAGTGTAGACCCACACGTTTGCCAGACTGTGATGCTTCATACATTTACTGCTAAAGATAATTTTTTCGCTATTTCTTCTCAGAATTGTTGTGTGGTGTTGCTGTGTGGCATGACAGCTCATCTATGCTGTAAACAAGACGATCAAGCTCTGCTGTTTCCCCAAGCAGACCAGATGCTGGAATGGTCTATATGCCCCAGAGACTGTTTACAGAACATTTTCAATGAGCAATAAGGCCAGTGCACACCTCACCCCTAGCCCCCATGAACAACTTGATGAAGTTCAAGGTGGTACCATGGGTCTGGGATTTGCAGTCTAACTTAGCATCATCTAAAACGTTAACAAACACGCCATTCTATCTGTGTCAAGGCACAGTCATTTTTTAACTATGTTGCCTTCTCCTCCTTGACTTTATCATAAAACAAGGCCTTCACAATCTGATATTTTCCCCAAGTACACAGAGCTGGATGCTAGAATGGGCTGCACATATGAGAGTATCATTTCAGAACATCAGATCTTCCAAATTTTGGCTTGTGTTGGAGAATTATCCTATATGGACTAAGTGGACAGTTTAGTCTATGTGGAATTCACCATGTCCCATCACACCTGTGTCACTGATCTGCCAGCCCGGGGACAGTGTTTGGCTTCCGGCTTTATTGGTGGCTTATTGTGACAGAAATGTCCTGGGGCAGTGGCTGACCGGTATTAAGAGAACACACTTTCTTTAGCGTTGCCACAAGTTAGAAAGAGATGGAGGAGAGGGAGCATAGTAGATGTGAGAAGAAAGCAAGAGAGAAACAGTGAAAGGACATTTCCCAGCAGCAATGAGAACAAACTGAGTAGGTACGCTGGAATGAATGAATATAGTAAACTTGCAGAGCAGAGAAGCTTTGGGTAGGAAAGAGGAGTGTATTTTTACGTAAGGTGATGCTGTTTAATCGTGCAGTCAGGCAAAAGAAGCTGTCTAGGAGCAAGAAGAGGACATATTCCTTTGTCCAGAAAAGAAATACGGTTTAAGAAATTCCTGGGTTCTACCTTGTTGTCCAGACTGACGAGAACTGAAGCAGGGAAAAATGAAAAAAAAAAAAAAAGGTTTATTATTTTAATCAGACCTTTTGCTATCTAAGTATAGATTATTTGTGACCCAAAAACCCTGAAAAATCTATATGTTTCTCACGTAAGAAATGAACATGTTTCTTACCATCATATGCTCATGAGCTCAAAATGCCTACATGCTAACAGCTCTGGGAGAGAGGGTGAGCTCTGAGATGTGCTTTACCCAGGGAAAGCTTCTCAACCTTCAGGATGGGAGGCACTATGCCCTGGAAACTTCTTCCTCTCTCTAGCAACTACACATTGATGTGAGATGACAAGACTTAAATAATTAACTTTCGGACAGCTAAAGTATACAGAGCTGAAACAAACTCTGAGAGAAAAAAAACAAAAACAACAACAGCAAAACCACCTTCTCATGGTTGGGAGCGCTTTTAAGACATTTTAGACAGGGAAGGAAGATAAGCACCTCAAGAGGCCTCAGAATTTCTGCGCATTCAAATCTGACACAGAATATATCTGCTACTTCAGTAGTATCAAAATTATTTTAGCATAAAGTAAAAAGTGATTAAAAGCTTTTCTTATGTGACCTTCAAGATCAGAAAGACTTACCTGTAGTATTCTTTGCTGCGTTATTTAGCATGAGTTGGGCAATTAACTGGAAATAAACATTTAGTCTCATTTTTCATTTAGTTTTAGGTAGAATTATGTTTCCTCAACTGAAATTGATAAGTGAATTATTATCTATTTAAAGGCAGTAGAAATTTACATCATATGCTAAGGGAAACAATAAATTTGGATCCATTTTTGTACATAAACAACCCTGGAAATAGCCTGATTCTATGTCACTGCTACATCAGCCACTGGGTAATGAACTCCTACGTTCCTGTCTTAGCATTAAGCCACAGTATGAAATGCTTCCTATTGTCCACCCCTTTTAGAATCAGGAAATTGACAGTTTCCCAGTTTTTTCCCCACTTTTGCCTCCCAATATCTCTCCCAGCCCCCAGGACTCTTCCTGTAGCTGCTTGGGAAGAAGGGCGACAGGAGAAATATATATTAGAAAAAGAGGAAAATGAAGTGCTCGAAGAGCAGTAGGTAGCTGTTTCCTCTTTCTAAGTGCATGTCTTTAGACTGACAAGAGTGGTTTCAGGCCTGGAGGACAAAAAAGGAGGCAGTAACCTGGGCAGATGTATTGAGAGGACACCTAGCACAATCCATACATGTATTGAGTTACAGTAACACATTTAATTCTTTCACCTTTAATACCTCTGCTGAACAGATGTCTGAAAGGGGCAGTTTCAAACTCCAGCAGGTTTTCCACAGTACACACAGAGCTGATTCTGGAAGGCAGCAAGGTTTGATTAGTCCATAACCCACAGGTGATTCAGAGGTGATTGTGTTGAGTTACTTGTTCGTGCTATCTGCAACATCTACTTGCATGAGTTCGAGTTCAATTTTGCATTTCTTTCCCTGTCTACCCTCCCCAGACATGTTTACAAACTCTTTAGGCCAAGGTGTTTTGGTAGATTTGACCTTGCTTGAACTTGCATCGGAGATATTCATAACAACCAAATATGGAGAGCAGCAAGACAGAGTGTAGAAAGGGGGCATGAGATTTTGGCATACATTGGCAAAGGCTTGGAAAAGCTGTAGAATGTTCCCGTATCACAGACTCAGCCTTGAGGAACCCTGTGAGCTCTGCTTTTAAGCTCACTCACCAACTAGGTTTTTTTTTTTTTTTTCCTCCTCAAAAATGCTTTCTGTGTTTTCTTTCACAGAGATATAACTGCTGCTGCTGCAGTTACACAGCAGCTGATCACTACAACATACTAGTACAGTTGGGTACAGATGTGATGTGTTGCTGTTTTATTTTATGAGTCTGTGATGTTCCCCAACAATTTAGATGAGAAGGAACCTCTGGAGGTCTCTGATCCAACCCGTTCTCAAAGGGGGGGCCAAATTAAATCAGGTTGCTTAGGGCCGTGTCCTGCCAAATTTTGAATAGCTGTAGGGCTGGAGATTTCACTACCCTCTGGGCTCCTGTTGCAGCTGCTGACCACCCTCATGGTGATTTTTATCCCTAATTTGTAATTGTCGTTTTCTTCATTGCAGCTTGTGCCCCTTTGCCTTTCATCCTTCTACTGCACTGAAGTCCGAGAAGTCTGGGTGCATCCTCTCTATTACCTGCAATTAGGCAGTTAAAGATAGCATTAAGATCCCTCCTCATAGCTTGCTCAAGACTGAACCAACCCAGTTCTCTCAGTTTTCTTGCATGTCCTTGAAGTCCATCAAAGTGTATGATGTGATGTTATTCCTGAGGCTTATCTGCGTGGCTGTGAGTCTGCCAGCAAGGTTTATTATTGCTGGAACACAGAGGAAGGCCTCCATGTGAAGGCCTCTGGAAGATCACTGCAGACACGTTTATCTCTGGGAGAAATTCAGGTCTAAACAGGGAACTGACAGGGCTGGTACCACAGCAACATGAGAGTTTGCAATTAATATATACATAGCCCAGCTCTTTTGCTACTGATCACTGTGGCATGATACTCGCACAAATTTACTAGAATAATCTTTTCCCCTCACTCTTGCACTTGCACATTAAGAAAATAACAATAGTATTACAGTGATGGTTGATGGTCCTGCTCAGTTCTCAAATCCCCTTGGCAGAGAGGGGACAGGAGGGGACAGTACACACACAGACCCGAAGTCTGCCTGGTGTCTAAAACAAGATAGCTGTACAAAGATGAAGAAGCAGCGTATTAAAAGGTACAGCGCTTGATCAATGCTCCACATTTTTGTTCATTGGTTGCACAATTAGGAAAAATCTGGAGAAAGTTTTGCAGCAAAGAAGTAAAAATGCCAGGGTCCTTAAGTCCCAGATCAGCATCGTGACCTGAACTCCATTCAGTCTTCATGAATTTTCTTTAGATTTTTGCAATATTCATTTGAAATGCTGTGCTTTATTTTGCTTTTATGCTGCATCAAGCAAAATAATTATATATTTAAACTACTTTGTTGGTCTAAACTGTGCTGTCAACTAAACATGGGAACAGAGAGGAAATAAAATGCAGTTTAATTATATTGATGAGTGAAACATTTAAAAGATTGGAAACGCCAGAGCTGAAGAGTTGTATGATCTTAGTTTTACCTCTTGTGCACCATGAGGGTCTTTAAATCCAGGATCCCCTTCTGCTTCGCCGTCAGCTCCCAGTCAGTGCACAGCGAGAAGAACATCAGGGAACAGGTCAGAATAGTCCAAGAGTACAGGCATTACCTCTATTTCATAATATATGCTGAACTGAAAGGCAGAAGGGGCTATGGGGGGGGGGTATGGGGCGTTTTAGGTCATTGTACAGTTTGGAAAATTAGACAGAAAAATAGTATGACCGTAAATGACCAACAGCAAGAGATAGAACTGGAAGATATTTCAGCTCCACCAATGCTGCTCATTCAGGACTGCCTACAGTCCCAAACTCCTTTTACTGACCTTCATCTCACTTGCAAGTGCCTCATCTCTCTCCAAATCTGGCTGCACCTGCACTACACTAGACATCCAGAACATGAGAGTTGCAAATCAGTGGCCTCTGCAAATATTTTTGGATTAAGAAGTATATTCTGTCTCATACAGCAAATCTATAGAACGACTTGATCAGAATCATTGATGCAATTTTTCTGGCTCCTCTTTAGAAGGGCTCAGATGACCTTCAGCTCCATCTGCCTTCTTACTCTCCACTCCCCAATTTAAGTGCCATGGGAAAAACAGAGAAGATGAGTTATGAGCTGTATCTTCTGAAATCACAAAATTAACCATTGTGCTTATTTTCATGATACGAAATTGCCTTTTCTTCACAACAGGTTTGGCTCTTATGGTACTCAACAACGGTGTTCATGAAGCTATCACAAGTGAGTCCAGCAGTGCAGAGCGTTCCATCATGATTGTTTCATCTCCACCGTATGTCTTTGGGTTTCTTAATATAGCTTTCCTTCCTGAAGGTTTTTCTTCACAATTGTAACAATTACATTCATTCCAGTATCTTGTTTTGCTTGGTTTAAGTGAAAGCTGAGACTCTGGAGCCTGAAATGAGAGGTTTTTTCTGCCTCAGCACAGCAGCTATGAGCATTACCTCTGCTCTGAGCATGGACTGCCATGAGGAGGTGCGTGAGGAGGCCAGCTATGCCATGGATGGAGTACTGAGAGAGCCAGACTGCAAGTGGAATGCATCTAAGTGAAAAGCAAGTGAGAAATGAATGATTTTTCAGTACCTGGACTTCCCCAAACAGACAGGATTCCTTTCAGTGAGTGGGGAGTCAGAGGAAACAAACATGATGTGTGAGGCAGGAAGGAAAGTCTGAAACAAAAATCAGTAATTCTTATGCTGGACCACATAAAAAAGGAACAGAGAAAACAGGAATTGGACAGCAGAAAACTAGGAGCAGGCCTTGATGATCATCTACCAGGGAGACAGAGGACCCAATTTTTACAGAAATAGAGCTTAAGTGCAGTTGTCCAAGTCTCCCACCATCTACTTTCCTATTTCACAGCATCAGCTCCAGAAGATAGCAGCAACTTTCACCAAAGGCTCTCTGCTACAGACATCTGCTCAATCTCACTACGAGGTAGTGGTGACAGAGGCAGCAGGCTGCCCCATGGAAAAGCATTAAGGTCCTGGGCCATGGAAGTGCTTCATTGCCTCAAGTTAGTCACTGGCAATGACTTACTTTTTGTGACTTGTTTTCCTCTTCTGTCCCTAAAGCATGGTGTCTAAGTCTTCCAGAGGAGCCAGAACTAGATCTGAAACAATCCAAACGCTTTGTGGGAAGACACCTGGAGGTATCAGAGATAGCATGCTGGAAATCCTACTCCTCTCCAGAGCTCAGGCAGCTGATTCAGGTCGGCCAGTAGGCACCTTCAGCCACTGCTATTTGCATAGGCTGGAAGCTTTCCTTCTAGCAAGTCTAAGGCTGAACAAGTTTCGTTTTTTTCTTCTAAGGTATCAGTGCAGCAGGAGGTGGTGCTGGTGCTGTCCCTTGTATAGGAGGAGCCGATGGGTAGCATGCTCAGTAGGAAGGGAACACACATACCCTTTGCTCCTGAGGGAAAGTAGCATCTCCTGTGTGTCAGGAGCGTGTCTTGACCAGAGGAGCTCATTGGCAGTTTCATGGGAAGGGAGTTGGCATTTTCTCATTGAAAATCTGCCACTTGTAATTACAGATCCACTGAACCACAGTTCGAAAACTGCATAGCCCCGTACTCCAAGGGCTCCTTGTGCATCTTCCTCCAAGTAATTACTGGGCGAAGTAATGCCCTTCTTGCAGAGCCAGGTGATTAGCAAAGAGGAGAACCGTAAAAAGAGTGTGAAAGAAGGGGAGCCCTGCGTGCATGGGAACACTGGGAAGTGCACTAAGCAGGACAGGTGCCTGGCAAGTTGGCACTTCTTTGGCACAAAGGGACATTTGGCATCACATTGCTGCCCAGTATCCTGCAGCCATTTTGTGCTGCCAAAAAGTGCCATATAAGCAGTGCCTACACCAGTGACTGCACCTGGCCTTAAAAATTGGTAATAAGAAAACAAGAACTCAGGGCTCTTACCAGATATTTTTAAGATCACATTGAACTTTTAAAGATGAGACAGAGAAATGGTTTTCATGTGTATACAATTCTAGTTTACTTGATCTTATTTAAAAGAGCTGATTAAGCCAGAGTAGTTAAATCAGTTAAACCCTGTATGGAGATTCTTTACTAAACACAGAGCAGCTTATTTCCAGTTACCTTGGCCCAATTCCCCACTGATTTACGCTCCACATTCATAACAAAGACCAAATGTCCACACAGGAAACTTAGGCACTTTATCTAAATGTGTTTTATTTAGGCCTTCATTGGACAGCCTTATATAAAGCTTAAAAATCAACAAAGTGTTGTTAAACACCTCCTTGCTAAAGTAGCTTAGAGAAAATACATCTTCAGTGGAAGTATCATCATAGCCAGCAGCATTTGGATAGGCAAAAAAGGAGAAAAGCACCTTCTCAGTACTCCAGGGGCTAAGGCTAATCACAAACAGCACAAAAAGAGTGAGCTGAAAAATTAGATTGTAGCCTTTGTTCTGATAAGTTCTTTTTAAAGTTCTACTGCTGTATCCAAAAAAGAAGCATGCAATACCACCTCCACTACCACACAGTGAAAACACCTGAAGGAGATTACAAACACATCCTAGGAGCACATAGCCCAGGTACTACTGAAGCAGTATCAGCCCAAAGCACAGCTTGCCAGAAACTGCTGTTATGCTTGGCAACAGGAGCCCTGTGCTTCTAGTCCCCAGGCAATTCCAGGGCATCCCTGTGCCATACTGCAGCCTGTGATATAGACAAATCCTAAGCAAGGTCACCTCCCGCTGACACCACATGGACCAACTTTTGCCTTGGCTGCAGGATGCTACACCTGCTTTTCACGTATTTACAAAGGTCCATGCCATTGGGAGGAACAATAGCCTAGATGAGGATCAAAGAAAAATAATGGGGAAAGGGGTTGGCAGGGAACAGAGAGAAGAGAGACAATGAAAGGAAAGGGAATGAGGAAGAAAGAGGAATAGAAAGAGACTAGATGGAGTAGTCTAAGGTTGTGGTGTAAGGGGTGCTACAGAGAAGGAAGGATCCAGGTGAAAGAGGACTAAGGGAAAGAAAGCAACAGAAAGCTCTGTTACCAATTATGGATCCATCATTCCCAGCTGAGGCCAGGTGGATGGCAGAGCGCAGGCTGTGCTTCCTCAGGGGCAGGCAAGACCAGGTAGTCTCAGGTAGAAACCTGGAAAGGGAACTGTCCAAGTGTCTCAGGCAGAAACTTGGAAAGGGAACTGATGAGCATGCATTTCTTTTACCTCAGAGAGCAAGGGTTTACATTGGCAGCAGCCCCGCGCTGCCTCTGCACCATCCTCCAAGGACAAATGTAACATGCTGGTCTGCTGTTACAGGTAGCTTGTGCCAATGCTGTTAGCCTGTACTACTGGCTGCTCTCATCCATGGGAAAACAGTCCAGGGCTTCATGTGAGTTATTCATGCACCGCCACAAGCTTGTGCTGTGCTCTGAAGATAGATAGGGCCTGGCTGTTGCCCTGATGAGAATGCGATCCAAATTATTGATGTAGTGAAGGAAGTTCAGGAAAGCTGTGGGGAGTGCAGGGTATTGCTTGGGTTACTATTTATTTTGTGTCTTCCTTTAGAAGCAGTGGGCAAGATGACACCTGGAGTATCTGTTAGATATCTCTCTATCTGCTATGAATACGTCTAGGAGAGCCCAGGCTATTGGAGATAGCAGTCACAGTACTTATTTCCAGCAGGAGGAAAGGCCTGTGGCTGGACTTGCAGTCAGACTAGGTAGAAAGATCAGGCAGAAGAAGCAAGGGACATCATAGTTTTCTACCATGTCTGGCTGTCAGACATAATAGAGTTTGGGAGTAAGACCCAATACAGGCTAATGCCAGGGAACAGATAGTTTTAAGTAAATGTTTTTAAGCAAGTAACAATTATCTGCAATGTTAAAGAACTTATTGGCCTTAATGAAAGCAAAGAATGATCCTTGCTAACACAAAGCCTTCCCTAATCTTCTCACGAGCTTCTTGAAGGCCTTATCAGCTGCGTGTTATAGGTTCTACATTTGCACCTCCTTTGTCTCTCTTCAGTCTGTTTTGGGACCTCAATTGCTGGTGTGAGCTGCTTCTGTTCGGAGGGCATTGTCAGAGGCTGTTTACAATTTTGAGAACTGAACTAGGTTTCGGCCAATTCCTGAGACACTGGAACAGCCTGAAATAAAACAGAGAATTCAAACATATTAGTGACAGAAAGGTCTGTGGCTTAAACTTGGAAGGCTTCCTCACTAAGTCACAGCCTACAAGCCTAATTCTGTACGCGCCATGTGGTGGGGATAGGGTGGCATTTCAACAGCTCACTCATAGGAGCCCTACTGCTACTCAGTGGCATCTTCAGCCCTGAGCTTAGGCATTAGGCTTCCCATACAAGGAGAGTTAGACATCAGAAAAAAAGGATCCTTATAACAAGCTGTGCAGGGAACTATCTGATCCAGCCAGAAGTGAAAGGCAGGCAGGAAAGAAACAGGACTGAAAGACCTCTGTGCCTAAACTGAGCAGAGATGGAAACTTGCAGTGCCTTTTCCTCTGGCCAAATCCAAGGGGAATTTCACAGCCCCACTGAAAAGGCCCTAGCCTGCTACTCTTGCTGACTTCAGTGCCTTCTTGCCAGCAAAGTGTGAGAGCCGCTTGGAAAAGAGCTTGTAAGCACATTTACTAGTTGAAAAAGTAACCCAAAGACAAAGAGTAATATGAATTTCCCCAGAGGATTCCTGTCGCACTCTCCTAGGCAGGGTGGCTACCCACTTGGGTTCACAGACATGGGAGTACAAAGTCTTTAAAGCACGATTTGAACTGGGACGGGACCATTTGTTGATGCCTAAATACTTCTACGCTGGACCTGAAGACTAAAACGCTGTACTTTTTTGTGTGCAATTGGAAGCCAAACTGCACAGATTTGCTGTTCAATGAAGGGGTCAAACATGGCAGCTATAGGTGGGAGCAGAAGTGAGAGGCCCAGAACTAAGGACAACAGTGAAAGCTTGGAAGAGACATGGAGGCTTTTTAAGCAAGTAGGATGCAGAGATCTGTACCAACAGGGTAGCTGCCCTAATATATAGAGAAAAATCCTGAATCTAGTTTTTCTGAACTTTGCATGCTGCAAAAAATTGGTTGCATTTTACCCCAGTAGAGATTAAGTCAAATGCTGAAAAACATACAATCCTAGCAGAACAGAAATTCCAACTTTTGCTCAGCTCTACTTAGCGCTTCTGCATTTCTTTAATTTAAATCAGATCAGAAAGGTCCTTGCTTACTTCCTCCTTGCAAGCCTCATTGCTGTGGCACATGAAATGCAAAGTGGTTTCACAGGAAGAAAAGAATCACCTTAAATACCACAGCTAGAACCAGCACAGTTCACATGGTTTCCTTCTGATTCCCTTTCTCTGATCTGCCCACCAGGCTTCTGATTTTAGTTTAAGTCTGCTTGGATGTCACACTCCTGTTGCACGTACAACCTCTGTATCACTGTTATAACCAACCTGCAAAATGCTTACCAGTTAAGGCCATTGACAAACGAAACTCATCACGCAAAATCCTCAAAACGTCTTGAAGTCCTTCTTCACCCTGCTCCAACAGAGAAAGCAGTCAGCGTGAAGGGAGCACTGGCCCACAGCAACGCAGCAGGATGCTTTCACCGTGAGCACTGGGACAGTCCCTTAAATCAGTGCCAATTCTAGTCGCTCATACAGATGAATGCTTAAAATGCTATGATGGATGTGCTCAGCTCATCACAGATTAATTTAGATGCTTTTCCTTTTGTGATATATCTGATCAGGGAAAGAAAACAAAGCTGTTTTTCACTTCTGACATTTTCTAGCTGCCTTTTTTTTTTTTTTTTTGCTTCCAGATAACCTTCGCCAAGGGGCTTGTTTTAAAATGTCAAGATTTGCAATGCTGACAATATTTTATGAAGTACTGAGAGTTTTATATATGGTAAAGCTTTAAAAACTGTAGTTTACTCAGATACAGGGATGAATCTTTAAAAATAGTACAGTGTGCTTTTTCCTCTGAGCAAATGGCATCAAGAAGCTCAAAAAATGCTTAAAATGTATATGTTGTTTTGATCTTACTGTAAAATAATGGAGGATTTTTTTTCTTTTTGCTATTTTCTTTTTTTCTTTTTCCTTTTATTTTCTTTTTTTCTTTTTATTTCTTACAGTGTAGAATGCTTTGGGTGCTGACAATGTCACAGCTTGTCCATGCCCTTCCTCTGTTGTATGCTGAAGTAATTCCACTGAGGTACATCTTTAGGAATATCCTATGGGATATAATACCAAAATACTGTTGAACTCAAAAAAATACCATCTACTGTCTATTTGCATCATGGAATAACTGCAGGCAGCTCACAGCAATGCCCTTGTCCTGGTAGGCCATTTTCCCTGTTTACTGGCACTGCCAACTCTTCCAGGTTTCTCACAAGATTCAGGCAATTTCTTGCTTAAAGCCTAGTTTCTGGAATCTACAAGAATCACACCACTGGATGGGAATCTCACTTTAAAGATAGAAAACACTTCTAGACCATAAAAACTGAATATTTTTTTTTTCTGCAGAAGATCTTGAATGCACCAATCCAGAGGCTAAAAAGTAAAAGCTTCGCCAAGTAAAAACTTATATAATTACATTTTACTTTTATTATTGTAATAACAAAATTATTTTAATCATCTTTTGCATCAGTGGCCTGATTTATGATTTGGGATGATACAAATGTGCAAATACTTAAGAAGCAGCAAAGCTTGAATGGTAGAAGCTGGAATGGATGGTAGCAGCACGCTTAGGTACCTACAGGATTTGTTGTGCTCAGTCCTGCTGAGAATCTTTTAGACATCATAGTAAAACAATGTATTGTTTCTTAATAAGCTGACAACATATAAAATTTTCAAAAACATCGGCGACAAAAAAGACCACTTCCTATTCTCAGAAACACCAATGGTCCTGACTCCTACAGTATTTTAGCACCAAATTGCAGCACTGAGAAATCAGAATCCACAAAACAATGTTACCAACTTCAAAATCATATTTTATATTGTAAAATTCTACGGTATTTTTAGTCACACAAAATGTCTGATTTTTATTCAATTTGTGGCATTTTCACTGAAAATTCAGCAAAAGTAAAAAATGCTTAAAATTGCTCACTGATGAAAACTATCTCTATGAGATTTTTAAGTAGCTCAGAGTATTCGTGAGTGTGAGAAGCAGACATAACAAACCTCAAACTTTCTTACTCACCTTGTAAGCAAGACCCCACAAAGCTGGTCTTCCAATAAAGACACATTTTGCTCCCAGTGCCAGTGCCTTTAATACATCACCGCCTTTTCTTACTCCACCATCTACATAAACCTCAACTCTGCCTTGTACGGCCTCCACAACTTCAACCAGAGCATCAATCTGCAAAGAAGAAGGCACTTTCACCCTGAGGTCAGCTTTTGATCCTGACACAAAAGGGAGAGATTTGGAACAGGCAGACATTATGGAATACTTTATTAACAAATGTTCGCAAAATGAAATGTAACAATGCACCTCAAATAACTCAGCACCAAAAGCTGTGGAACGAAATGCGGCTCCATGTTAAATTTGCCAGAGAGTTTCCTTTTTCCAGTGTTTTGCTTATGTTAGTATTCTTTTCTAGCACTTCTGGTAAGTGGGAAAGTAACATTATCATTTGCTTTCCAGTTTTTGGAAAGATTTTTAAAATACATTTCAATGGAAATAATTGTTGATAATATCTCGCTTTCATCTGAGACAACAGTGGATGATACAAATGTCTGTAAAAAAGGCTAATGTCAAATCTCTCCCTGTTTCTTTCCAAGTTGCCTTCCTTACATTTCAACCATCCGTTGAAAGCCTCCTCAAGCCCCATAAAGCAGCTATGAAGGATTCCATTTGCTATGTAGTACAGTCCACATGTCATTTCCTCCTGGCTAAGCCTCTTGATTCCCTAAGATCTTTTCTGTAGAGCAGAGCCCAGTGCAGAGCAGTACCATGCAGAGATACTGGCTCTGGTCCCAAGGGCAGTATAACCAGTGAGATGTCATTGCACCAGACCTCATTAACTCTTCTTCTTGGCAAGCTCAACCATCTCTTTCCTGCGATCTCTTACACTCTCTAGCCTTTCTTTCATCTTTTTAGGTAGAACAGCTATAACTAAGATTACTAGGTAGATTTCTCCAGTTGCTCAGAATCTTTTTTTTCAGACTTTCGGGCTGAAAATTTGCAGACTGAAATTTTCCAGGAGTAGCTCATCAAGCACAGTGACAATAGCCTCTGGTACCAGGGGAGTGGCAGGGTTATGTATTTGCTGGATTTTCTGTGTATGAAAACAAACTTTTAAGGTAGAATAGCAGTTCAATATGGATGGCATTTTCATTACTATCTCTTTAGCATTTATAAAAAAATTTTATTCATTACTACCACCCTTGACATAGAATAGCAGAGAATTTCCTGGTGCCTATTTTTATTTTACAAGGGAAAACAAAGAGCAGAAACAGCAGAATGAGATGCTATGCAATACAGACATGTAAAAGAAACAATCGGAAAAACTGACTGTTTACTGCCAGTAAATCACAGGGAGAAAAATGAAGCCAAAACAAAGCAGTGGAATACGCATATGTCATAACAACCTACAATTGCTTTGTATGGACCAAAAAACAGGGAATTTTTCTCTGAGTAAGTTATCCTTTTTCTGGCTCCTAAAAGTCAATAAATTCCTATTTAGTCTTGAGTCTGTAAATATGCATGCAGATCTCTCACTAAATCCAGCTGGATTGTTTGTGCATGTTTTGGCAGAGGTTAGTAATGAGAATGCATTATACTCTTGTTGGTACATATTCAACTCCAGAGTTTCAGTTTGTCCCTGCTAGAGCACACACAGACTATGTGTGCATTGCAAAAGCTGATGAAGACATAGGCAAACCAACTTTTACTAACTTAGACCAGATACTGCCAGTGGTTTATCTGCTGTAGCATGGGTTCAGTGCTGGTTACAGAACCCTTCCCTCCCCGCAAGGAAGCTGAGAAAATACTTGCGTGGGTAGCACACGCCAAGGCATGCATCTTACCAGTGTAAAGCTAAAGGACATCTGCAAATGCTCACAGCCATGCAACACACACACAAGTCCACCGTAAGTATATATACAACCACCAGCACACAGATACCCAGCTTAGCACAAGCATGCATACAACAAACACTCAGGGGACATCAACTGTACCACCTACAGTGGCAGGTCCTCCATCCAGTTGCCTTCCACCATGGTTGGACACAATAATACCCTGTACTCCATGTCTTACTGCCAGCTCTGCATCTTCTTTGGTCAAGATGCCTTTGACGACGATAGGCAGATGAGTAAGGCTCTGCAGCCAGTAGATATCGTTCCAGGTGACTGAAGGATCCAAGCTATTGGGTGGGACTCCATACTCGGAACACTCATCTCCCTGCAGCCATGGGGCAAAAGAAAAACCTCATTTAAGTTGTCATAATAGAGAGACCCCCTAAAATGTTTCCCTACCCTAGAAGAGACTAATTAAATTGCCTAACAGTCTTCTTCTTCACCTCTGTAAAGCATGTGTCACTGGGGGAGAATATTTATAATGGAGATGGAAATGAGTGTCTCTAAGGAAAGTAGATTGAGATTTTAAAGCCAGAATCCTGGCCAGCAGGAGCTCAAACCAGAACGCTGCAGAACCAGAATGGGAGAAAATATGCCCTTGATACAGCAGATGTCAAGGCAGCAGTTACTCAAGGGTTTTGCCTCATGTGGTATATGCCAACACAGTGAATGAGAGAACTAGATCATTTTACAAACCTCAAAGGCTCCCTCCAAGTTCTTCAGTCTCATGTGTGGAGGAAGCCGGAAGCCATTGCGGACATCAGCCCGTCTTTTGCCAGTGTAGGGCAGGTCAACTGTGAGGACTAGGCCTTGGAAACCCAAGGCCTCTGCCTGTTGGACCAGCTGCTTGGCAACTGCCCTGTTGCGGTGGATATAGAGCTGGAACCATCGGAAGCCTCCGGGGGCAGCCGCAGAGATCTCTTCCAGGCTGCTGGTGGAGTATGTGCTCGCAATGTAACAAATGTTCATGGCTTTGGCTGCTTCAGGAGGTATTAAAAGAGGCAGAATCAATGTTATTTGAATAGCGCTATCAGGTACCCAGTACAAGATTTTTTTGTGTACTGCTTACAGAGAATACCTGAACTGCTGCTTTATGTATATTCTACCAAACATGGCACTCTAACAACTGGCAAATACGTCTCAGGGATTAAAAATGGCAACATTTACCATGCACTGTTGTAGGATGATGGTTAAGAATACAGGAAAGGAAGAAGTAATTCACCAAGTGTTGTTTCATTTTGAAACTGTTTTTTAAAAACAGCGACTTCATCCTTATGACTACTGTCTCACAGGAATGCGCTAGCAAATGCAGTCAGTGCACACAGGAACACACATGTGAGCAAAGGTATGTCTAGGGCACAGCTCTCCAAACTCACCGCAGGATTTGGGAGAGCGGCTCTGCTCTTCTCCAGGGGAGACACAGTTCTCACCAGTAACAAGAAATTTACAGGTTGAGACCTATCCATCACTTTTATGTCCTATCTGGAGCCCATGGCACTTGAGGACCTGTGTAGGTTTTGGTTTAAGTTAGAAATGTCTCCACGATCTCTGTCTCAAATTTGCAGCAGCCCTCCACAAGGCTGATCTGGTAACAGTGGTAGCTGGAGAAGTACAACACTGTTTGTATGGCTTCCCATGCACTTGTGTCACCGGAACAAAGTGGGTCACCTACAAAAAGGGGTGTCAGAAAGTGAGAAAGGAGTTTGTCCATTCAGGCCTGAACACTTTGCTCCATCACACTTCAAATTATCCTACGAGCTCTTTAAATTTTCCACTTTTTTCCACAAACCCATTTTTGCCACACAGCAACAAAATGGAGGAGTACCTCTGGCTGTGCTTTTCTCTCCATCAGGCCATGCAAGCTGGTGGAAGCCTGTAGGGGCAATTCCTACAGGAAAGCTGATTTCAGTCCCCAGGAGCTTAGTCCTAATGTCCATCACAGATACATCCCGCAGCACGCGTGGCCGGAAACGAATTCTATAAGGCAAAAGCAATAACACACTAAAATGTTGTAGCTGCCCAATGGTTTTTCTGCTTTTGATGTTGTATGGAAACCAGGTCTTCCTTTACCCATTGTAATGCAGGAATCTGAGCTGATAAAGAGCATGTGAAAATGTCATGTGAAAATGATTCTTCTTCCTTTCTGTTTGCTTTCACAGGCCATTTCAGCCAGCAGTTCAGCCAAATACACCTACAATTAATCCCATGCTCCTACTCATGGGCCACAATACCTCATTCCTGCACTTCCCACTTCAGCGCACCACTCTTTACATATCTTGTTCTCCCTATGTACCCGCCTCATAAATTGCTTCTACTTGCAGCCCAGTCCCAGGTCTCTGTCTTCCACCATATCATTCTCATCTCTATCCTCACTGCACAGTGTCTGCCCTCTCTATCTGCAGCATGGTCCCCAAATCCCATGTTATTCACACTTAGGTTTCCTGCAGTCCACCACGTGCTCCCCATTGCATCTCACTCTATTATAGCCACTCATCCCTTCTACTGTCAAACCATACCGCACCATACCACACCATACCACACCATACCACACCATACCATACCATACCGTTTGCCTGTACCCTCAGTGTCCCTTATGCCTCATATAGTCTGTTTCTTATTCTGGCTAACATCAGAAGGTGTTAGTGTATGTCACTCAGATAAGCGCATTGTGCTTGGGGATCAGTCTGAGAAGGCAAGATGTTAGCAGTCTTTGCTTGTGAACACTGAGTACAGATGCCAAACGCACTTGCACACAAATATAATTTAAAAGATTCCAGCACAATACCCGTCACTTCTCCTTCACGTTACCTTTTATATGCCAGGATGTTGTCATCTCGACTGCTCTCATCATCTGCTCCAGCTGCAAAATAATCCCAAGCAGTCTTAGGTAAATACTTTTTAGCATAAGCTTCAAAGTCTGACAGACACACCATAGCCATTTCAGAGAGATGCTCTGGGAACCCTGGAAGAAAAGAATAACATGGAACAGAAATTAGATCCCTGAACTGTCATTCTCTCGTCTGTGCACTCTAATGTCACTTAATGCAAGCCTTGACTCCTTGGTCTTGTAGAAGAGTTGCTAAGAAGGTGCCTCCATCTTGGTGGCCCATTCAGTCTCTGAGACTATTTACTGAGCTCTTATGCGCAGGGGTAATCTTAAAGTAATGTCACCTCCTTTGACACTGCCTCCTGAACATATGTAAGTTATACACCTCATTTCCTAAATGTCCTGTACTTGTGTCCCAAAATGGTGACAAGGCTGCCCTTCATACAGGTTCACTGCCCAAGGGACAATGCCAGGAGCTTGTTCTGATCATTTCAGAAATGTAAAACCAAGAAGATATAAATTCCTGCTTAGCTGTCGCAGAATCATAGCAAAATTAGCAAAAGAAGGGAACTTTGGAGGCTATCTAATCCCACTCCCACTTAAAAGAATTTGGAAAAATGTTTCAAACTCAGCATGGTACAGCTGCTAGCTGAACTTGGTTTGTGGAATACTGTGTCACACTCACAAATCAAAGTCACATAGGTGATACTTATTTGGGCATTTCCTAAACTTTCAAGTCGATCTTGCAAGTGTGAAACTCCAAGAAGTTCCACCAGAGTTAAAGGAATTAAAGGGAGAATCTGGTCTTTTATCTCTGAAGACCCCTCCTGAATCAGAATTTCTTTCTAACTTTTAGTTACTGCTTTACCAGATATGACTACCCAGTGTCCACAATTATTTCATCTGCTCTCAAGCATGTCTTGCCATTTATCCTCTGCCCTAGTATGAGGAAAACTTGCTGATGCCGACATAGGAGTAGGAGGAAGCTTGTACATCTGTGTCTCTGTTCTGCCTTAATGAGCAGAAGCCTGAAGAGGACACTTTCGGTCCTCTGCTATTTTGAGGCACAGCAGTCATATAATCCCATCATAAATTCCATCTTTAAAAAAGTTGGGTTATTTATTCCACTAATTTTCCTGGAAAATTGTTCCAGAATTTCATTCTTTGGATTGTCTCTCTTCTAGGACTGCTCTCTGACTGAACCATTAGTTACTGAGCACATCATTGGCTAAACCTAAGCTCATAAAATTTAGAAGCAAGTAAATACAGAGCCTACATCTAACCTGCTCCAGCATGAAGGCATTTTAAAGCTATGTGCAGTCTCTGAGTATAAGTCACAGTCAAGGCTAGAGCTGTGGCAAAAAACACAAAATGTTTTGTAGGGATATTCATTTTTCCAGTGCAACAAATAAATATCTCTTTGGTGTTTGCTTTCCACACTGCAGGCACTTTCCATTCATGCCTGCTAAGAAAAGAATATACAAAATTTGGAGAGACTATGGGAGAACATGGACAAAAAGTAAATTTTACGACATGGAACATAATTTGAAGAACTGCTCAGTCTGTCGAGGAACAGAAGTGACATTGTGTGACCCAAATATTCAATCAAACCAATATAAATCTGACTAACAAATGCCTTCACCTTCCTGCTTGTGAACCAGGACTAGAAAATATGTAAATTGATGTTTTAGCAAATCATGCCTGTATGCGAGGAAACATGGTGTATTACACCGTACAAAACATAGGAAAAATCAATTTGCTAAATTGTTCATTGTATTTACTTCTGCAATTTTTATTAAAACAGGTATTTTGCAGTGTGACTAAAACACAGAGTTTTAAAACAGCTGTGGTTTTTGTGTAATCTTTCTATAAATGTCCAGGAAGAAGTAAATACCCTAGCTTTCAGGACTAGCCTTTCACAGCAGATTAGCAGGGGTTTCAAGCTTCCCCAAAATGAGTCCAGTGTTTCTGATGTCGTGTGCTTCTGACACAGATAAGCACATAGGTTATGTACACAAATCCAATCTGTCAAATTGCAAACATGGATAAGTCTCACTGATAGAGATGGCTGTATATATACACTTGAAAATCAGGAATCATAGTTCTCTGCTAGCAAAGAGCCAAGATGATGGAATCAAATTGGAAGACAAAGAGGAAATGTGATTGATATCTAAATTAGTGCTTTGTCTCCTCTAATAAGCATTAGGTATCAGGGTGGTAAAAATATTCAAAGCCCTGTCTGTATGTCTTCATTACATCAAACACTGTCGCTAGCACAAGTCTTCACATATCGTGATGTGCCATATACAACATATCATGAGTTCTCCTTTCCCTGATGTAAGAAAGGTCAAAGTCAGCAAGCACAGAAAAAAGACAAACCAAATCCTTTCATGGCAGAATAAATGGGAATCTTAAACGACCCAGGCCCAATCCTCACTGTCCCTCAATTCTGACTTACTTTGGGTTTCAGGGCGAGCAGCAGTAGGTGAGATCCTGTGTTTCAAGTTAGCTTACAAACAGGATGCAGAGGAGGTCTTTTCGCTGAGTAGCTGCTGTTTTTTCTGGAGTCAATAACCAACCACAAGTGATTAAAGCTCAATCCTGCAGTAAACTTTGTACTGCTTGTGTAACACTGACTTTGTTTTGCTATCCGATCGTTAAAAGGTCCTTCCAAAAATGTCTGTCAACAAAGTCATTGCTTGGAAAACAGCACTGGAACTGTGCTGTTCGGCAGGGGCTGAAGGCTGTGCATTCACTCAGGGAAGCCTCAGCATCTCAGGGGTTTTGACTGAAACCCTAAATTGGCCCTTAGGAGGGCAGGAACGATAGTAGCTGTTCAACCCCGTTCAGGCATGGGCTGGCAGTGTTCCCTGCCCCTTGCTCCAAGCAGAAGAAGAAGTGGAGGTGAAATGCCATTTCCTATGGGGCATGTGAGGACCTGCATGTTATCACACCTTCGTGCAGGTCTGGCAAGGAAAGCTAATGGGTCTGCAGAAGAAGTCTTTTGGATTTGCTGCCTTTTCACAGCACCTGGCCAACCAAGCTGTTCCTCAAGCCTGTTGGTAATTTGCTGATGAACATGCTACAAAGCCCTCCAAAATGATGATTCACAGGCAGCGTGAGTTGTTACAGCCCTCAGCTACAGAGCCTCGAATCTTTATCACCATGCATGGAAGAGAAACACACACAGTATATGAACAAGTAAAGTACCCTTTGTGCTCTACCATTTTTAAATGGCTATGAGTGCTCCCATGATCCATGTGCTCTCCCCCTGCACTTGCGGATTTCCTCCTTTGGCTGCCCATCCAGTCATCTCCCAGAAGCACCATCTGTCCTTTCCTTCTCCCTGTGCTTGAGAACTGGTGAGACTTTACGGTGTTCCCTTCCTTCTCCCCACTAAGCATTAAAAACTAGGACTGAGGTGCCAACAGATTTATGATATTGACTTAAATTTGCAAGATATGAAAAGTAAATACTGGATAGTTTTATTTGTCCTCTGGTTTTTAGACTTCAGGGTTCATGTTTTCAATTCCTACCTACCGCATGAGAGCTTGAAACTTAGATTTTTACTAACTTAAAATTGGTATGTTTTTTCCATAAACCTGTGATACTAGGTGCAGAAGCTGAAGCGAAAATTTGTGAGAACATTCCCAGAATTTTGCCAATATTGTCCTCCCAGCCTAAGCAGTGCAGCTGAGGCAGTGAGTGAGCCAAAGGACTGGGGAAGAACTGGAAGCTGAACAGCATTACAGCCTGGGGTCCTGGTATTCCCCGAGGCTGGTCTGATGCAGGACTACAGAGCTCATGTTCCTGACAGCAGAAATTCTAGGTTACTGCTTCCATTTCTTCAGCTGTAGCAAAGATATATCTTTCTATTTGATGTGTTTATGAGACCTGGCCCAAGCATTACAAGGAATGGCCACATACACCATCATCTTTTGAAGTTTTTAAAAATTCTGCCTTCAAAGCTTATTATCTGCTGACAGCACTATGAAGCTAGCTTCTGGCATTCAGTTATTGATGTATTTCTTATAAATGAGACATGGTATGTGCACTTAGCTATAGTTCCCCTGAGCTCCTTGGGTTCTCTTTCCTGCCCAGGAAAACTGGTTCAGCATAACAGCCTTCAGATCACTTCTGAAGAGAAGAGCAAAGTATCATCTCCCTCTGCACTACATAGGACGGAGCGTGGCCTTGCGAAGGGAAAGAAAATCCTGGGTTCATTCTCCCTCCGCTAGATGTCAGCTTTGTGTCACATATAGCAATTTATGCTGGCAATAACAGGAAAGAAAAAAAATCAGTCCTTGATGGGCTGCCAGGCACTATGGCCTTAAAATTGATATGATCCCATCACAACAGTGCCTGCTAATATGTTTGGAAATCTTCATTCCCTGTATTTTATTCTTAACATTTTCTGGTGCACAGCATAGCAATAAATATAGCTACATGTAGCCTAGCCTGGTTGTTGTTTCAGCCTATAAATTATCTGCAGGGTCCTCCATCATGTTTCTCACTTTGCTGATCTCAGTACTCCCCTACTTTAGGGATGCACATAGCAGCCAACTCATCAAACCGTAAAGTTTATGGTTTCTTGGTTATCATCATTTCACATGAATTAAAAAAACAGTGATGACTGTATTTTGGATTAGGAGAGAGGAAAAATCTCTGCTTTTGTACTGTGGCTTCAAGGAGACTATATTTTTCGTCTAGAGACTTTCTCTTCTTGCAGCAATGGACTAAATTCAAAGAAGCAAGGTAGAGTGTCAGGCAGTCAACAGCCAAAGCCTGATTTCTGCACAGATTCGCACAGCTGGGGTTTCATAGTTGCTTTTCATACTAACATTGTCAAAGGCTTGTGAATCCAAACACAAGGATCCTGTGTAGATCTCTGCTCAAGTTCCTGTTACAGCCACAACAATTGTTACTCCAGTTGGTTATATTTGTTTGCTTTTCATAGCTGGCAAATCACCATGGCTCAAACTGACCTCTTGCTGATGCATCTACTAGTGGCAGGTTCATCTGGGGACTTCAGAAAACTCTTGTGAAGAACTTGGTGAAGGATAAAGGCATTATTCCAAGCAACATAAGCCAGTTGGCATAACTATGCAGTTACCACTGATTTTTGCTTATCAGATGTGTTTCTTGGGCATATGCCCCATGTTTGGAAGGAAAACTTTTTTTCCTTGTATGTTATTCATGCAAGAAAGTTCTCCCAAAATTAAATACTTAAATAGCCACCCCTCTATTATAGGTGGAGATGGCAACAAGTCTTATATTTAAGGTTGCCTAACACTTTTGATTATAAGATCCAGTTTTTGGTTGCTTTTAATTTAGTCATATTTTAATCATTCAAGGCTGAAATTTCCCTTCCCAGGTCTTTGCGTTTGGCTGTTTTTTTGGGAATGTTTCACTAAAAGCAGGTCAGCAATTTCCAAGAATGAGGTTAGGGGAAAATATGGTGGTTGGCCCATGCTGAAAACGTCTTACAGTGGTTTCACTGCAAAGCTTAGGCAGTTCAGCGTTTGATGCAGGGGCTTGAAATTAGCGGGGGCTGATCCCTGGGGGCATTAGCCCCTACTTGCTGGCCGTATGAAAAGCCAGCTAGACTTGACCTAGCTGTAAATCACTGCAGCTCTCTGCTTGCACATGCTCAGCAGAGATTGTCTGAAATCCAGATGTTCTCTTTATTGAAGTCTTGTCTAGCACAGAGCGTGCTTCTGCCCACGGCCAGAGGAACTCAAAAAGCCCCAAATATGAGCAGAGGGCAGGCAACTGCCTCTCCCATGTCACCTATGCTTGGATTCAGCCAGCTACTTAAACAGCAGTGGAGGGAAGAAGAAAGAGAAACAAAATGGCTCACAATAGGAGTTGTAGGACAGCACTCAGAAACTGGCAGGTTGGGAAGGAACAGAGGCAACAGAGTAAGAGACAGAGCAGATCACAGGATATGGTGGGATGACAGGACTTAAGGGAAATAGAATAATCAAGGGCAGAAGGGGACAAATCTGGGTAAGAGGCAGGAGAACGGCCTGTGGCACACTGGGCAGAAAGAGACCTAGAAGACTACCAAGTATTTGGCTGTTCTTTCTGTTATCGCTTCCCTCTTTGAAACCCGGAAGAGAGTTTGATTTATTCTCAGAATTACTCTGCAGAACTGCAAATAGCTACAAAGACTTCTGAGAAAATGTATTTCATCTAACCCAGTTTTAGGTCCTCAAAAAGGAAAAGTGTTTCTTGCTAGTGGATGACCCCGCTGACTCATGCTGCAGGGCTCTGCATGGTGTGTCTGGAAGTCTGACCACACAAAGTCTCACATCTCCTGTGTATTGTAACATGTGATAGAAGGTCATTTCAGAGTTTTTCTTTCTGGCTTACCTAACAAAACAATCTGTCACCCAAATATGAGTTTTCCCACAAGGCAGCTGAATTGCACTTTGACAGCTGCATCAGCCTTACAGAAAGGGTCTAAAGTAGGTGGTGTTTAACTAGCATGCACTAAGATAGGGCACACCGTCTCTGTGTACCAGGGAGCACCATGCAAAGGTCTGCTAACCAGTGACAACTAGGCACAGCACTATGAAGTGGTAGGAAGAGAAAATAGATGCGGTCTGGAAAGAAACACCTAGGCTAGTAATCCACAGCCAATTAATTGCTAGTAACAGTGTATCTGCCCAGCCTCCCTGCTTCCAACTTGGAGACAAATTGCTGGGCCGCTAGATGTAAGTGTCTTTATGCCTACCACCTCCTGCACCACACCCGTCTCGGCCTCCTTGGGCATGACAGCTCATGGGTGGAGTGCAATGTGGCCGGAGTACCCTGTGCTCCAGCTCTCCCAAGCTGGAGTAGAGGCCTCAGGCATAGCCAGTAGCTGTTCTAATTTACTCTGGGACTGGAAATAGCACTGAACTAGCCTGTGATTCAGAGGGCTGCAGGCTTTACATAGGCCTGAAGGTCATCCAGCCTACTCTGCTATGCCAAACAACTCTCTGTACAAGTGGAATCTGGACCCATGTTATTTTACCTTTGTGTTCCAAGCACACAAGTGCAATCATTGCTTTAAAAAGCCTAAACCCAAGGCATATGCAAAAATCAGAATCTTCCTGCATCTCTAGACTCTCTCAGTAACCTGAATTTTTGTGGTACCACTTAAATTTTATCTCATCCTTACCCTTTTTCTTCATTTTTTCCCTCAGAAACCAGGAGCATGCTCCGGGGTCCTACTATGGAAATCTAGTGCCTTGCATCTCTTCAAGCGAGGAAGGTCTGCATGGCTTTGTAGCAGCCAAAGAGAGAAAATGTAGTTCTTTCATCAAATACCCATTTCAGTAAAGATATTGGCGCTACAGCCTGTGACAAACCTCTTAACCAATGATGCTGAGATCAAGCAAGTAGGGCATCTGGTTAGGAGGAAAGATCACATTAGATATCGTTTGATGCATGGCAGTCACTCACCATTGCGTGAGGAGTTAGGAGCTGCAGGTAGCAAGGAGGCAGTGCACAAGCTGATCACAGACTGAAAACACAGCTATGAAAAAAGATTTGAGAAAGCAGTTTCAGAGTCACTT